GCACAAATTCTACTTTTTTCACAGATTCGATTAAATTGAATAAAGAACAAATGCTGAGTCTTTGTTACCAACAACCTGTCACAAAGTTTCAGAAGATACAAATTCATTATTTATACTTATGCTAAGTGGCCTGCTGAGTCAAGAAGCAGCCAATGTCCCAAGCTGGAAAACTATTACTATGGACTACTTACAAAAAGAAAAGAAAATGAAAATCCTGGCAGCAGCCGATGGTAGCCCTCAACATCTCAGTAGATGTAACTGTTTTATGAAAATCCTATGTTGCTTCATTTCCATGTTATCACACTCACAAACCTGGGAGTCGCCGTCGCACAACCGACAGGGTGACGACAAAACCTGATCAGCCAGCCGAGTGAACGGCTCTGAAAAAGGCTCCTCAGTAGAAAATCTAAAGAAATAAAGGGTGGCTCCAGACTTTTGCACAGTGCTGTCATTGTTATTATGGAGGATCTGTGATGCAAACATACACGTGGCCCTGGTTTTTAAGGTGGCTTTTATTGTTAAAGGGTAAAAAGAAAACACACGATCTGAAATGAACAGAAATATAAGCTTCAGATCTGTAACAAGTGCTGCATAAAGCTAGCTGCCACTCATAACTTTGATTACGAGAGGACGATGCAACTCTTCTGCCTGTGAACGTTAGCATGCTGGAGTTACAGAGCAGGACACAACGCTAACATGTTAGTTTGTACCACAAAGTGCAGATTGAACTCTGATACTTCTATTAAAATGAGGTGACCCCACAAGTTCACTGTCCTTCTCTATGCAAGTAGAAACCAGTGACAAGGCCCAGTTACAGACTGGTTCATGGCTCCATTTTAGCCCAAAACTGATTGAACTAGCTTCACATGACTACAGGAACGTGCAGCTATTTCTGCCTAACACGACAAAGACGAAACAGGAAATGGATGTTTTGCATAGACTGGAAACTAAAACAAGGAAGCGTGATGAACCAGCCTGAGGAGCAGGAGCTCTCGCTGCACTAACATGAGGGCTTGAACTGCTTCCTGGGACAATAATTAGCTATAACGTGCAGCAGCAGGCTAACA